GTCATGCTATGCAAATTCCAAGTCATTAGAATTACTAAATTCTTTAGAAATTCATTGTTTTCATTGAACACCAACATTGCATGACTAAGTTGTCAGGCTGGCTACGCCACTGCAAGCACAAAACTTGAATCGGGACAATACTACCATTTGCGTTCAAGCTTGCGACGTGCGATTTTAAAACGTACGTTTGACGTTTCAAAACGTACGTTTAACGTTTCAAAACGTTACGTTTGCCGTTTCAAAACGTACGTTTTGTCACGCCCCCTGCCATGTTTGGGTAATTAAATTGACATGTTTTTGCAGTTCATACGGCATGTTTAAATATAGCGACGTTTGTACTTATTTAAAAATACTCAATACAGCAATTTGAAAAATGACATTCATGACATGACAATGGACCAAATACAAGTGCAAGTTCAGATTGGAGAAACACGGCGTGTTTTTTTCACGGCCTCGCCGAGGACATACAATGATTTAACCGAAGCTATAAAACGAGAAATCCCTAAAACAAGAGATTTGACGTTCGGATTGCTGTACGAAAATGACGAGAAAGAATACGTGGTAATGAACAGTGATCCCCTATGTTTCCGAGTCGCAATTACTGGAATAAAATGTATTCCAGGGACGGATATTCATCGTCTTAAATTGAGAGTATTCGAGGGCTCTTCACCAAGTGTAAAAGCGAAAGTTGACAGTAGAGCCCAAGTTGAGGAAGTGACCGATTCACATTGCAGACAGCCACAGTCAAAATCTGCATTAAGACGCTACCCAACGTCAAGTACAGTAAAATCTTGTCTTGTAAGCAACTTTATGGGCTGTGAGGATATAGATAGTGATGATACTGAGGAAGATCGCATGATCATGGACAATGACAGTGACGATCGTTTAGATAACGACTTATGTGTTGAGAAAACTCCACTTGAGAGATACATTACGAAAAGCGAGGAAAAGATTTACGAGCAGGAAACAGTAATTAGGCAGCTACAAGCAAACATTGAAAATGTTGAAAAAAAAATAGCAAGAGTCAAATCAGATCCAAATAATGGAAATATATGTAGAAATTGTCACCTTAGGTTGGGTCACACTGCTCGCAATTGTCAACTCGATAAATGCACATCGGTCTTTAAATGCGGATTGGAAAAAAATCACCCAGGCGAACATAAATTAAAGGAAATGCGATCGCAATTAAAGCAACACGAAATCAAACTTAAACAGTTAAGGGAAGAACTTCGCAATAGAAAACATGCTGTAGAAAATGCGACGGACAAAAAACATGTTAGAATCGAAAGTGAGCTGTTGCAAGCAAATAGGGCGGCTTACATGGTAAACGGTAACCAAAATTGGTCATTACTACGAAAACACGTTTACCTAGTGCAGGAGTACTGCAAAAAAAATTTGGGAGGAAAAATCCCCGCAAGACATGATATCGGACGTATTTTGAATGTCGCCCTCGGTCTTGCTGACGACGATTCGAGTAATAACCAGTTTTACAGCCGGTCAAAACAGAACACCAAGCGACGCAAACACGAAAATCCAGCTCGATCCTCACTCGAGCATCATGGAATAGAGTTTCCTAGTTCGAGATTAGTCAGTACTCAAAGTAGCAGTTCCTGTAGTAACAGTATAAGCTTTGATACTGATAAAGAAAAGCCTTCACAAATTTTGCATAGTGCCCCTGCATCAGAAGAAGAAGAAGCTGAGCAATTAGCTATTGTCATCAGAGAAAGCTTGCATAAATCAAAACCGCAAACTCTGGAGAGTGCCAACACGAACTTGTCTTACCCTACCCACAGTCAACATATGCCCGACAGGCTTCGATCTCCCTATGGCATATGGAAACATGTACCACCCAATGGCAATGCCTTCTTTTGGCATCGATTTGTCCCTATTTCCCAAGCTACTCACCAATGGCAATGCCGTACACCCAATCTACTGGGGACTGTGTTCGCACAACTACGAGTACGCCGACAAACAGTTTCATGACGCCGGCGCCGGCAGAGTCGACAAGTGACGATGTACCTGAAGTCAGTGAAAATGACGCAGTTTCTATGTTGTTAAATTTGTCATCGCAAAACAATTAGTTAATCTTATGCGATAATATTATGACATAGTCCAAGTTTTATTTGATATTACGTTCAATAAGGTACCATTATAGGTTTACCAGGCGAAGGAAAACATTTCGTTATTAAAATCGATTTTGAATTCAGTGGCGAAGCAAACGTCGATAATTGGGAGGGGGGCATATTCATATAGTCATGTTTTGCATGATTAACTTCTTTTTTAAATCGATTGTCATTACATTGTGTGAGTTTATTTTATGCCCCCCTAGGCCTCCAATTACAGTATTGATGCTGGCTAAACGCCGCGGTTTGTTTTAGAACCAACGTAAAATACACCCTTGCAATTTAATATAGTAGGCTAATATTACTGGAACTTGATTCGATTTTGTACGTTGTGGTTGTTCCGTACCAGATTTATTGTTGTTCAGTTAATGTTAAAATGTTTGAAATAATCGAAATAAATTAAAATGAAAAAAATACCATCGTTTCAACGTCGCAAAATTTGAGAGTTATTACGTAACTGATGTTGGATTTATTGAAATACGAAAGGTTATATTTAGAACTATTGTTTCTGATGACGCTACATTTTCTCTATACTAATTAATATTCAGAAGTCAGAACTATTTTTATATCAGCCATTTCAATCGTGCCTGCATTATCGAATGAAAATAAATGCTCATTTAACTGTAATAAAGCAACTATACCATGGCTATACTACAGTGCTAGATAAACAAGTAAGATGTGGCTTCATAGAAACCTGTCATGTCCGTTGGTGAAAGTGTCTCGACGGCTTCTGCAACCGCAAGATGTAAATTATCGTGGACCAATTTCCTGAGTTCACCATTTAGAATGTTTTTAATCTTGTTGAAACATAATTCAATTGGATTCAGATCAGGAGAGTATGACGGCGTATATAATAGTTCTATACCCATTGTGTCAAACCACTCTTCCAAAATTTCTCCACCTTCGTAGTGATGAGACGAAAGATTGTCCATCACAACGATGTCACCCACCTCAAGGCATGGACGACCTGTATTAACGTTGACCACTCTTCCGGCCTCTTCGAAAAATGCAAGAAAACGCGCGGTGTTTGTTGCTCCGCTAAGAATATTATAATATTCGGGCCCAACAATTGAAACAAGCAAGTTCAATGTGTTGTTTGGAGATTCCTGCTTTCGTATTATCTCCACACTGCGCGTTCCTATAGCACTGTGTCCGTACGTGCGAGTTCCTACGTTTGGTATTTTTATTCCAGCTTCGTCGAAAAATTTTAACTTTCTTGGATCCTTCGATGAAAGATAGTTTATGAAAAGTTGTGTGTAAAACATGTTGTTTGGAGTAAACCGCTCCCTCGCCAGTTTGGTCAGTTTCTTTCTTGTATACCGTTCACCTGAAGGCATCCTGCTTTTTATTGCTCTCGAAACAGTTGACATGGAAACCTCTTGGACGCCACATTCTGTTAGCTCCTGGATGATTTCCGCAAGAGAAATTGACGGCGAATTAATCTTTAACACTTCGATTAGTTCGAGGTCATCTTCCTGTAATTTTGACTGTCTTTTGCCACCTCTGCGCTTGGGTTGTACTGTTGGAACTTCTTCACAAAATCTATTCCAAATATTTTTTACCGTATTGGGAGATACTGTAAATTCGTTGGAGTACTGTACATACGTTCGTGGAATGTAACCAGTAATACGGTCGCCACCTTCTTTCAAAATTTTATCGATGATAAAAGATGCAAATTCTTCGCCAATGGGTTTACCAGGACAGTAACTGCGACCATATAGATTTACTTTTTTTACAGAGTACGGATCCATATTTGTTTACACTAGATATTATGCCAAGTTCGTTTAGACTTCAAAAACATGTCAATTTAATTACCCAAACATGGCAGGGGGCGTGACAAAACGTACGTTTTGAAACGGCAAACGTAACGTTTTGAAACGTTAAACGTACGTTTTGAAACGTCAAACGTACGTTTTAAAATCGCACGTCGCAAGCTTGAACGCAAATGGTAGTAACCTCGGAAAAAACCCTGCATACTTGCTGATCGTTAGTTTTGAATAAAGACTAATGATAGCCTAATTAATAATTGATCGTATGTGCAAGATTTTACGAAGTTCTTTGAATTGAAGAAGTCTTCAACAGGAATGGCTTTTTCAAATGTACATACAACATGTTTTAGCATTATTACAACGATATATACATACATGATCGTATATTTAAAGAGAACGGCGGCATTGTTTCATGAAATTGAGACTACAAATCTACAATGTGTCCCAAAGAAAGGGCCAAGTGGTCAAAAATTGGTTTCACTCACGCCTCTCATGTTTGCTTTCTAGTTCAGAGATCTGAAATCTCTGCCTCGAACGGTATTTCCGTTGTAGAGTACAATGTGGGAAATATTTTATAGCAGAAAGCTAATAAAAACAAGGTTGTGCAAGTGAGAAAAAGCAGTGTTTTGTGTTTATGTTTTTTTAACTCCAAAAACAAGGTATCCTGCCTGATGGTGAGTCCTGTCGGAAGAATCTTTTAAAAAAGGCTGCCGAAAGTGTTTTGAGCAGTTCAATATATCTTTCTTCCGCAATGTCTTTTGTTATGTCTTGGATCTAAGATTTTTTAAAGACTTTTTTTAAAACTGGAACGTTGGGCGTTGAAAATGAGAGCGTATGATTTTAACAAACATTGTAATTGCCGTTTGATCACAATTTAATTGCCTCGTTAATTAGTGAAACGAGTTTCGACCAATGACCTATGGCAGTAAAATCACTCAGTATTCTGGTTAAATTCAAGGCTGTAAAGTGATAAGAAAACTACAGAAAAAACCTGGAAAGATATAGACATTATAAAGCTCTATTCCAGAATCATCGTTGCAGATGTTTTTGTCTCATCTTTGCCTCATTAATATTCATAGATGACAGCGGCGGTATTATGAAAGTTCCGTTATCAAAATATGAATTTTTCATGACAAGTTGTGGTATTATTTTAACAACAATTGAACCTAGCCTTGGCAATACACTCCCAAAATTATTCAATGAAATAAACTATGAAATATTTGGAAAGGTTTGGGAAACTTTGATTGAAATAGTAAAGGAAGAAGACAGAAACTGGCTCACCGGCATTGACTTGAATATTTGGAGTTTTGTTGTACTTTACAAAGCACCGTTCCGGTTGTTCCCAATTTAAGTAGCTGAAATGTAACGTTCAATACATCAATCTCTTGCCGTCGTTTATATATTGTGCTGTCCTGAACTTTTATTTTTAATCTTAAGTCACTTATGCCAACGAATTGATTTGTACCGTGTCGAAAGCGTTTTGCGAGAGCCATTACCAAAGAAGCAACTTTATATTAATTTATGTTATGATATTGACGAAGTCTTGTGGACAAGACATTAATTGTGTGACTTTTCGTAACCACCAGGAATTTTGTTGCTGAAAAGAGAGGATTCAAGGGCTTTACATCAATACGCGCGTCTTTTGTTTGCTCTGTGTCTAATTTAGTGACTGTCTAAAAATTCACTTCGTATTTCCTGGCGGCTTATTTTGTGTTCAACTATGGCTCACAGAGATAGATGTGTTTCCGAAAGCCGAAGGTATTGATTTGATGATTTTGAAAAAAATCAGTAATTACCTAAAACGTATTACTACCAATCTTCATACAGAAAAGCAGGGAATATTTATATTGTAACTTCTACGAATATACAGTAGTATTAGATAATAGATCGTTTTTGAAATTTACAATTTGGCCATTCGAGCGTTTATTTTGCGAAGATGTTTTCAAAATGAATTTATATTCAAGTGATATTTATTTACCTCCAGTTCCGAAAAAAATACCCAATCGATTTTAAAAAGATTAAGATGGCATGTCTAGATTCAGAATTTATGTACAGGTTATTCCAATTTGTGGTATTAATTTGTCTACATAGCCGGATAAATTTGCAGAATTTGAAATGTTGACTGAAAATGATCATGACAGATGATAATTATTTCAATTACCTTATGCCAACTTTAAGTAAATATTGATTGTCTTGCTCTAATCAGTGGCAGAGCTGAGGTTTTAATTTTGAGGGTGAAGCACTAGGAGAGATTAGGTCCAGCAAATGCAATTTACTGTGTTTTGGGCTTGGGAAGTGTTATTTTCCCAATTTGAATATTTTGAAGTTAATGATGGGAATTATTTTAATAATATTTTTCCTAATTGATATTGTGAGTTTCTCTCTGGCTTGCTTTTACAAGTCCTAATTGTAAAATATTTCCCATTAAAACATATGAGTTTAACATATCTAGTCACATTGTCACATCACATGTTAGCCTCACTGCAGCTCTTATTTTTATGATGTTGAATTATATAGCAACCAAATGCATACTTACAATGCAATGTCTGCAATGCACCTTTTAATCTATTTCACCTTTTGATTTTTTTTAAATGAAGAGATTTAGAATGTAAGCTTGTATCGCAATAAATATTACACTCTTTGCATTTTTATTTTGCCATAGTGGAAGCAATCATAAAAAAAAGTTGAAAAACACTGGTTAAAAAAAAGTTGAAAAACACTGGTTCTTTATGTGGTTCTTTATTGATAAGTTCGTTTGGTTTTTAGTTCACCATCATTGGATCTTCCAAAGAAGAATCCAGTGCTAAGTAGAAAGCATTATTATGGATCTACTGAAATGGTACGTATGCCACCTGGTACATCATGATAAATGTTTGATGTTGGTAGAATGGTTAAGTCAGTTTCATCAAATATCTTTTTCTAGCTTTGCAACCCCAGAGCAGGAAATGAAAGCAGTAGTAATCATTTCCGCAGTCCATTAAGATTCAGAGTAGAAAATGGAGAGATGGATAAAGCTGACACAGAACAGGTACAGCAGAGAATACTCGCCTTATATTCCTTGCCTTTAATACTTATGACACTTCATATAATCTCACATATCAAGATGATAAGATTTCAAAGGCTTTCTTTAATTTTTTTTCTTTTAGCATTTTGACAGTGTCAAAGGTAGTATGGTTCATCTTGAAAATCCTGAGTGGCAGACAAGATGGTATTTTAAATATTTCTTAGGAAAATGTAAGTAAATTACTAAATTTTTCCATTTTGCTCTATAACTATTCATGTTCATTTTGAATGGTCTCTTTTTTAGTACACCAAAATTATATTGGTCTGGATGTGGATAAGAATCCATTTGTGCTGTCCATTTGTGTCACAGAGGAAGATAATTATGCAGTCTTACAGTACAGAACTATTTTGTGGAAGAGAATGGTATGGCTTAATTGGCCAGCACCTTGATTGATGGTTTAATATTGTATTGACCAGCACCTTGATTGATGGTTTAATATCATTATATGACAATGAATTGCTTCATTCTTGTTTTAGGGAAGTGAAAGAAGATGTATTCCATATGATCCTGGAAAACCCCTTTCATCTAAAACAATTTTACAGTATGTGTGGTAGATGTAGCATGTTTTTACATAATTATTATATTTCAAATCTTTCATGAATGGCTCCTGATGCAGTATATTATTTAATTCAATCACCGTTGTAAATAGTAGATTCTGTGTTTGTAATATCTAAAATTATTTCAAAATCTGTTTTCGTAGAATGTGCTACAATGTCAAAATTGACAAGGGTCCAAAAGAAATTCTAGTTCCAGAAATACAAAAGGAACTTCTTGTTCTTGAAGATCAAGAGGTATCAAGACACATTAAACCAATGAATTATTTGACAATTTGATATTTTTTATGGAGATGTTTGCATAATCCAGTCTATGACTATGTGTATTAACTTTCATCATAAAGTCATTTAAGAGCAATATTTCATTTCTCCTTTAGGGTTCTGTTAATTTTAAATTTGGTGTTTTGTTTGCAAAGCAAGGTCAAACCACTGATGATGAAATATTAAGCAATGGTGAGTTTGATTGAAGTCAGCTTCGTCTTTTTCATCTCCTCCTCTGAAATGCTTTTTAAATGCCATTGTGAGCAGAATGTCTTTCCTTACCTTGTAATTAGAACCTAGGAAAACTCGAGAAACTAAATTCCCAATCCGACCTCCAGATTATAAACGGCTGATACTTTGCGATATATCCAAAAACCTATCACGAGCCTGCACACTACACCCAGCTCTCTATATTCAACGCTAGGCCACTTTACCAAACGCTTTGCAAGGCTTATACTACATTATTATAAAGTATATGTGTTTGCTTGGTGTGAGATTAAAAATGCAAAAGAATGTGAAATGGTTTTGGAAAGCAAAAAGATCACGTCGGAGCGACCACTGTTTTCATTATCTACTTTGCATTTAACCACATTCAAGCTAAAATATTACGACTTTAATAGGACGATCACGATTTACAGCAGTCAACAGTATATTGAATACACAAGGATTTGGTTAAGACGTTGTCTTATCCAATGTTAACAGCCCTCGAATAACTGACCCTTGGTTCAGTATTAATTAGCATACTTAAGATTGAGGACGTTAACAAAGACGGCAAAAACAAAGAACGTTATATGAAAGATTGCAAGAGTCTACTCCTAGACTTAGTCTGATCAGTTTCATTTAGTCCGGGACGATAATAATTGGTCATTATTTCGTATTTTCAGAAAAAGAAAGTGACACTTTTGACAACTTTCTGAAGTTGCTGGGTGATCGAATTCTCCTCAAAGGATGGGAGAAGTTTAGGGGAGGACTTGATGCAAAGAGTATGTATTAGAAAATCTGTTGTATAATTGGCTTGCAAGAATTTCGTGAGATTTTCGTAAACTCTTTTTACCGGAATGGAAACACGAGCTATTGTTGAACGGATATTTTCACGTGTAACGGTCAATTTTGATATTTTTCCTTGTTTTTATCAGGTAATATGACAGGTTCTACGTCCGTTCATACGCATTACGAAGGCCATGAAATCATGTTTCACGTTTCAACACTTTTACCATTCTCTGATGACCCACAACAGGTAAAATGAACCACGGTGTTATTGTGTTGCTCTGGTCTTGTATCATATACTGTAGCTGTATAATACTTTTCCTGTTTATTGGATTGTAATGTAGATTTCTATTCTTCCCTGTAGGTTGAACGAAAACGTCACATTGGCAACGACATTGTAAATATCGTGTTTCAAGAATGCGAAAGCCATGAAAAACCAACATTCACACCGTACGGAATTCGGTCTCAGTTCACACGTATCCTTTCATTTGAAACATATATCAAACCCTATTTGATGTGCATGCTTGATGCTTGGGTATTTCCAGGTCAAGGCGTCCCCACCGCCCCTCACCCTCAAACCCCACCGCCCCCTCACTATCCTACTATGTGCTCCTTATACTTTTACTTATAAGGCTATACAACGGATATTTCTTAATTCTCTGGATCAGATATTTACGCTCTCGTAACGTACTCAAGATCTGAAGATACTTACAGGTAGGCTCTATATATTAGGCCAGAAATAGAGACTACTGTTGACACAGCCTTGAGTGAAGCGGTCAGGGCATGTGCAGTTAGTGATAAGTGCATGTGCAGTTAGTGATTAGTGCATGTGCAGTTAGTGATAAGTGCATGTGCAGTTAGTAATTAGTGCATGTGCAGTTAGTGATAAGTGCATGTGCAGTTAGTAATTAGTGCATGTGCAGTTAGTGATTAGTGCATGTGCAGTTAGTGATTAGTGCATGTGCAGTTAGTGATTAGTGCATGTGCAGTTAGTGATTAATGCATGTGCAGTTAGTGATTAGTGCATGTGCAGTTAGTGATTAGTGCATGTGCAGTTAGTGATTAGTGCATGTGCAGTTAGTGATTAGTGCATGTGCAGTTAGTGATTAGTGCATGTGCGGTGAGTGGTTACAGCATGTGATAAGTGCATGTGCAGTTAATGATTAAGTAGTGCATGTGCGGTGAGTGGTTAGAGCATGTCTTTTGTCACCAAAGCTCAATCATTGACATGCGTGGTTGTTTGAACTCTAATCTTCATCTTGAGGGAAGTGTGCTTGAAGTTTGACTAAATTGCTTGTTTTCCTAGAATCACAGTATTCTCTGAAGTTAGCGTTCCAGCATTTGGTCCGCCGTTACCATCCTCTCCTGTTTTCACGAATCGCCAGGAATTTAGGGAATTTCTACTTGTTAAAAGTAGGTAACTGTTAGTTTTAATACTCAGCACGTATGTATGACATACCTCTATTGAACTGGCTTGGAAAAAAACTAATCCTTCAAAATTTATCATTGGAGTTTTTTTCTCTCCCTAGAAGAAAAGCACTAGATTTATTTTAAAATATCTTAGGTTAGGGAGATTTTTGTGCATATGCAAGTACAGATAATTCGGGTCAATATAGCGTTATTTCGATGATATTCCTTTCTATGTAGTGATCAACGGTGAGAAAGCGACACACCTTACTCCAACCTTCAGTAAACGTCGACATCGAACGTTAGAAATGCTTCTGAACAACTTGACCAACACTCATTTAACGGCCGAGGTAAGAATTACATAACAGCCTATGCTGTGAATTATATTTTGCTGGACCTGTTCGTATGCTAGCGAGCTATAAAACAAACTCCAAATCTCGCTTACGCTTTAAGCTTAGAGATAATCTAGGAACTTCCATAATGAGTTACATTCATGCTGGCGTTTTTTTCAGAAAACGAAATCAAGGAGATTTACAAACACTCTGTCGGACTCTACCAAAGCGAAACAACATAAAGAAAATGACAGGAGAGAGAAATTTATATCATTTGGCCAGGTCAGTGCATAGTTATAGATAGCTACGACACTAATATATGCGAAGTATTCCAGATTTTGTACACTCGACGCATATGAATAACATGGTTATTTGAAGGGGGGAGGGGGGGGAGAGCACAGACCATTTCCAAGTTATTAAATTAAAAAACTATCATAGATCTATGTGTATGATGATTCATATTTCATTACTTAGAAACTGAAAGCGAACTTAATAACAGCCGAGGTTCCAACACGTTTGGTGGACAACAGTGTGCGGATGACTCGATCTGAGGTATAATCCAGTTGGGTTTTTTTTATCCATAGGTAAAATAAACATCGATTTTTTTAACTGTTTTTCTTTTTGCAGCCATGGGAAACACAGTGTATCTGTAATTATTTCCCAACCAAAGTTATTTGCGGCGACAGCTGGGGTTAGTAAAATATATAGTTATGTCCATTTATCCTGTTTATCTGCTGTTATAAACGAATTTCTTTATTTAAATCTTCGCAGGGGAACGTTTAATCTTGGGCACCGAAGAGGGTGTGTTTAAACTCGAAGGTTGGTTTTCATTATTAACTTCTTTAGAGGTATCATCGCCCAATTTAAGAGAGAATATTCCCCTCCACTTTTTGGAGGACTTTCCCTCTTTTCTATGATGGGGTTTTCACCCCCCCTATGATATGGAGAAATGTCCCCCCCTCTCTATTTTGAGCTTACCTCCTCCCCTTTTTCGACAACACTGATGTTACTTCTTTCAACAAGATAGTCGCTCTCTTGTTTCAGGTGGTACAATGAGACAACTTTTTGATAAGACTGTTGATGTGAAACAACTGTTTGTTGACGAGGAACATGGTTTGTTGGTCCTTCGAGCAGACAAAGGTTTGTCATTCACTCAACCATTTCTGTCATCCAATTTCTCTCAGTATCTTATTACAGTACCATGTACATTACAGTATCATTACAGTACCTATTTTAATTCTTATCTGTAGGTCGTGATGGCAAAGTGTGCGTGTTCGCATTGTCAGATTTTGAAGAACTGGGCAGTGATCAGTCAAAGACCAAGTTAGATTGCAAAGAACATAAGCTGGAGAAGGCAAAAGGTATTTCGTTTATACGTTTTTTAGAGATATTGTGGATCAATTAGGATGACTTTTACTGGCACTTTATTATCCTACAGAGAACAGATTAGAACAAACACAAGTATCCCAAATAATTGCAATTAGTCTACCTTTTGTACTTTGTATAAACACATGAGATCAGTAAGGAAAGGCCTACAACATGGGAAGGCATACAGAATTTCGTTTCGTAATAATGTTAGTTTAAAGATGATTTCTCCTAGATAGACAAACTAACCAATGAATGATAATAATTAGTGTGGAACTGTTACAGCCACCAAAATATTATACAATTTTTTTTAAAGCAATTTAATAATTTGATTATCTTTTCCAATAGGTTCACATCTACTCGCAGTTAGTGACAATATTGGTTGCAGATCCTTTGCTGTGGCTGCGAACAAGAAGATCCAACTATATCAGTGGCATAATGGCGAAGGACGGAATATCCAGAGAGTGGTCAACTACTTTGAACTTGTTAAAGAAGTTGTTATCACCGAATCGCCTTCATTGCTGACCCTGGTGGATTGTGGTAGCAAAGGCTATACCATGTGTGTTGGATACAGGAGTCAATTTGATTTGATCGATTGTGGTTCTGGGAAAATTACGAAACTTCACGAAATTGATGGGGCGTCCCCAAAGGTATTGGAAACATATTTTAGATGAATCGTTCATATTGACGTTTTCGTTCTTACATGCGTGTTGTAAAGGCTTTTAAACGTTGAAGGAATATCGTAGCGAGGAATTATATAGGGTTTTTTATCCTCAAATAACTGTTCAAAGTTGATAGAGTCATCAAGTATAATTGTAATGTGTGCGTTTATATTCACACTGCACGTCTGATTTTTTCCCCTTAGAATAAGCCAAATCTTTTACCAGCCATTGACGTTTATGAAGAAAATGGTCCCTCATTGCTTTTGTCCTACAATCGTATGTATTATACAATCTCCGCATATATATTAATATAATCATATAAACATGTAGTCTAGAAAACTAAAGTAATTAAAATATTTTCCAATGCGCAGATACGTCCTTTGCTAAACTTCTCAATGGCGAGAATGTATCCAGTTTTAATTTCCAATGGAATGCCACGCCACAAAGTATTGGTGAGTGTTTTATAGATATTTCTGTATATATCCTCTGTCTTACGCGTAAGTTAGTCAACAGATTCCTGATTTCATCTTTCTTATCATACAGTCTACGTATTTCCATACATTTTGGCATTCACGCGTAACACGATTGAGATTCGCTTGGTTGTCAATGGTACATTGGTTCACACACTAGTTTTGCCGAAAGTTCATCTCATCTCTGCAAAGGTAAACCATCACTTGGTAATCCTATAGAACGAAGGACAGAAACGTACTTGAAAGTTTTGCTGATAGATGGAAATAGGCGAATATATAGCTATATGCATTTTCTCCGACGTGTGTTGTTATTGTCCTTATGCATGATCAGTGCCGTTATTTGAACAACCGTAGCTTGCTCGCATTTTTCGAAAGAAGAAAATTGCATCTAATATCGCAGGAAGATTTGCAAACTGGCCATGTTAGGCAAATCTGGTTGGAATTTTAAAACCTACGTATGTGAGATTCCGGACCAGTGCTCGTAGTCGTACCATGTCCCCGTGATGGGAGAAAGTAATGTTGCATGATGAGGGTGATTAGAGCTATTAAAATGCGTTTTCATGATTTAAAACCCGGTCCATTTCACATTAGTAAATACTGCGTTTTCCGTTTAGGCCTGGTACGGAGGGAGGGTTCATTTCTTGCCAGAGTTGCATATTGTTGTTGCACCATATCTGACTGAAGCTTTAACCAACCCATATGATCACATAACCCAGGGCGGGCTAACAAGATTGGATGTTACACACTCAGTATATTGATATCAGTTCTCAATGTTTTTCAGGATGACATATACTTCGCTTCATCCCAGCTCACAATTTCCGAAGACCAATCATCAGACTTCAAACGGAGACACACGAACGTCAAATACAGAAACACACAACAAACACACGCCGCGACTACGTCAGATCAACAAATACGAATTTATAAAATGTCGTTAAACTCTATTCAAAAACTGAGCCTCGATCGCTCGTCCCAAGCGCGACTACCAAATGTAAGGACACCTTTAAGTCCATTTAGTGAAGTCTCGTTCGATTTTCCCAATCCATCCTCGGACAACGGCAGTGATTCGAGTTTCGAGGAGATTCCACACGTAAGCCGCCAATCAAAGGCGAGCGTTTCTACTCATAATCTAAGTAGACCATTTTCCTGGGCCGTCTTGGACGATACGTCAAGTAAACTCGATAATGAATTCAGGGAACTGATAGAATGTCACCAGGGCGAAATCAATTGTATATAGGTTTCTAAAATATGTATAGTTTTATAGGTGTGGTCGATTGACTAGTCGCGTCACTTACATACAGGGGCGCTGTAAGGTGTGGTTTTACCTTCTCCTAAACTTTCTATACTGCTAGCAATTGACCAAAAACCAACCAAGTTCTATAGAACATATCCTTCTCACACAGTCTCAAAGGTCTTCAACAAAATTTGATCGAAACTTCGAAACGTTTATTAAATCGACCATTCCTATATTACAACAATTCAAAATTTGCACATTCTACGAATGGCAGCACGTAGAGGCATGAACACGTTTGGGTAATAATATAATAATTATGATAATTTATATTACCTTTCGACAAAGGAAATAAGTAGAGGTTATTTTTGAAAGATGTTACTGGCTACGGTCTATATTTGTTTTAAGGAATAATGGTATAGAGCTCAATTTTACTTTGTAAATATGAAGACAAAGATTATTGTATAGTAATCACATGGGATGTGTATTTCTATTGTGTACAAATAGTAAATTCCAACATGAAAAGGAAACTGCAGACAAAATTGTGACTTTTTTTTTATACATAAACAAGACGCCCTGTAGGCGTTAACTCGGGGTATGTAGCCGGTAAATACACTGCACTGAAACTGAGCTATATTGATACACTGTAAATACGCGACTGTCCGCGCGGAAAACTAAGCCTGCGACACGAAAAAAAAAATAATCGCGAAACCTAGACTCGGCTACCTCAGTAACCCGAGCAATTATAGGCGTGGTAATATCGTAGGATTGACTTGCCAATGGTAAAGGTGTAGCGAGTAAAGCCGGTTTTCCACTAGCGATATTTTTCGCGCGAAGCGACTTTATTCCTTTGTATTTGAGCAATTTGTTCCAGATGGTTGCAGTTGAGAGCTCTGAAACAAAAGTAAAATGTCGCTTCGCGCGAAAAATATCGCTAGTGGAAAACCAGCTTAAGAGTAGTGCCCATGAGAGAAAAGGCCACTGACTGAATTGTTTATACCTCGTTCATCTCAGCCAAATTCATCTGAGAGAACCTGGGCCTGGGAAAGATATCTTGCATTAATTAAAAAATAGTGATACAAATGGGATGTTGAAGTACAAACAGGATGTTCAGAGAAGGGAGTTTAGATTGGAAGGACTCCCTGGTGTTCTTGTTAAATCGAAATAAGTGACGTAATCAGCCACAAGAAGCAGTGTCAAGAACGTGAACATCACAAATTGTAGTTTAATCTCCTCATTTTCTACTGTTATTCATTGAGAATGTTCTTAAGTCAAAGGGACACCTGGGATTTTGAATCCGAAATTGCATTCACTAAGCATTCTGATTTTGTTAGTTAGAGGCTCGAACTAAGACAGGTTGCTCAATTGTATTGACGTGCCCCACCTGACGTAAAAAATGTTAGAAGCCACGGGTAGGTTCGGATTACACTATTATAAGCTTCCTAAATCTTGTCAATGCATCAAATATGCAAATATTGCACCCCATCTATATACTCGTGTTCATTCAGGGAAAACGGATAACTGAATACTTGATTTTTAGTTATTTTTATGAGCATTATTTCTCTTCAATGTATGTATCATGCGATGAACCAAGGCGTAATAATATAACGTATCAAATGCCTTGATTATTTACAAAAGTTTACGGTTTTCTAATTCATAGCACACACTTTAAGCGCTTGGCTGCTGTCTAGATCTTCTGGAAGCATGAATACAGAAGTTATGGTAATTTGTATTCAAAGCCGTTCGTTGCTTGGTTCAAGAAGCTGCTTGTAGTTCAACAATCAGGCTGAATTCATCAAACGTTGCTCTTTAGACAGTCTTCAGCAGTGAAACGTAGACATGTCTCAGGAAAACTTGGCTGAGAAAAAAGTTGGTAAGCAAAACGAGAAATAAGAATATTATATTGCTGCGTGATAAATATAATTCGAATTATCAGTATTGGTAGACCACTGAGGGTGTTTCCGTATACATTTACAAGCTCTTATTCTTTCAAATTTTAAAATATCTCTGTAATGAGTTAAGTAGCCCAGAATATGTCCAGGTTTGTGACTCTTGGCGATGATATAGATAAGAACGATCGATGAGGTTGAACTTAATTCAGCTCTGATCACGAGCTAGTCCTGAATTCTAGTGCAAAAATTTAGATTCTTCTTGAGCCGCCCCATTGCACACACTGTAAGATAATTGTATTTGCTCTAGCAATTTTCAAAATAGGCGATATTGAATCCTTCAGCTGTGGCAAAAACTGGTAGTCAAAACTTGGAAGTGTTCTATAACGATTAAATATTTCGCGAGGTGTACAAATGTACAAATATTTAACCTTAGGCTTAGGTTGTTCAAAGCAAGATTTCGAAAAAGTTGTTATAAGACGTTACTGCACGTTATGATGACCGATATTGATTCAAACGAAAGTCTGCAAACGGCAGTCTCAGAAAAATTGCTTGCCTTTAGCAATTGTTTGGCACAATTCAACCAATTCAAATTTACGATAACATCCATGCTTATACCGTCCTAGCTTCTAAACAATTCATACGATGTTTATAGATTGCTATATTTGTCCAACCAAAATCTTCTGCTTTTGGTTAACTGTATATAAATATGACTTTACTGACTGGGTGTAACACAGTAACAAGTTTTCAAGGCACAATTCCAATTACAATCTGGTCAGTTTGAAAAGTAATATAAATAATAATATTATTATACTGTCTTTGTTTACACGAAAGCGCAGCACATCTATGATAAATCAAGTATTTGACCATGAAAGGAAGAAATCATATTCTAGTATGAATAATCTTAATCTTAGATCATTGCTCAATACTTGAGCGACGGAATTCTATGACTTGACCTAGCTTGATTCGGAATTTCCTAACAATTATAATATAATTGATAAAACGAAACTCATCGTAACCAAACGCCACATGACCCTTGGCCTGGCCTTTATTTATCTTTGTTGAGCATCATATTCGATGGGTAGTGTCTCATTCACTTGAAATTTCAGCAAATATTCTTCAATCATTTAGCGCCAATGGAGTTTGAGGAAAAAGGCGAGAAGACAGAGCTTGTCGGTATGTTTTTGCAATTTCGATAATTGTTACTTTTGCAAGGTTAGAAAGAAATAGCAAGCCGTATATTTTATACAAATATAGATGGCTTATTCTCAAAGTTTGTTTATTGATTGCGGGCAAGAATGTCCTAAGAAGTGATACTTGCTTACTCCGTGCACTTGTGAAAATTGTTGTTTTTAGTTGACTGATTTCGTCTTCAGTAGAAATCGTGAACGAATAGAAGTCATGATTGATTGTTAGCGCTTGTAGCAACGTAAATCACATGATACGTAAACTACCTTAACCCTTTATTGTTGGCTACAAACTACTACAAACATATAAAAGGTTATAGGTGCCTGCTGTCTATCTAAAGTCGTAGTATAACAGACTGCAGTTTGTTTGTAACACACGGTTTGTTTCAAAGCTGTCCAGACCACCATGCGGTATATAATAGGAGGCCATAGACTACACTGGAAGAAGCCAACACCTAGTCATTATATTTTGTAATTACAGACAATGAATCGTAGAAAGTCGCAATGGTGAATCAGGCCTGAATACGAACCTATTAAAAGTATAATTTTTTCTGAGGCCTCGTTCCCACGTATAACCGAATACATACAAGTGACTTGTAACAAGTGTCATCAACTATAAACGTTTTGGTTCTTCAGACGTTCTGAATCTGGTTGTAACTAAATTCGTTTATTTAAAACGCCTGAACGAGTAATAAAACAGCCAACTACAGATTTTACTTATATCCCGCTACGTGGAACAGGTAACATTCATCATCACGGCCACGGACTCAACGGCATTTCAGTTATTTTGAATTTTTCAAATTCGCTGCAAAAATGAAGCAGTATCCAGTTACATACAACAGCCCTGTTATTAGTATTACAAGCACAGTTTAATCCACAGCGGGTGAAGAATTTCTGGATGCACTTTTTGACTCTGTTTTGTACACGCTGATTCATATCCATGCCAATGGCTAATATGTTTTAATCTGCGTGACACCGCATAATATGAATACTGAATGATATGCAAATTATAATACACTAACGTACAATGTCAATGAGCTGCATCGTTTTGAAATCAAGAAAATACAGTCCGTGTTTTGAGCGAAACTTACTGTGAGAATGGCAAGCGACGAGAGTGGTAGGAGCAAGTATATTTTATGTAAAATTATGCAATAGTCAATTTATATAAACATTCAAAAGCTAAGCCTAAGTCAAGGCTAAGCTAAAGTCAATTTTAGGTTTTGCCCGTCAGGTATATTGACAGTATCGAATATTGTTAGCGAAAAATATTGCATTTTTTGACATATGTCCACATTTTCTCTCTCTGTGAACATATAGTTTCTTGTATTGCATAGGAGCGATGTTTATACCGGTTCACATGGTTGTTTTATAATGTAGACGTAGTGAAGACGTGAAATAAAAATGTCGCCATATCGGACAAATTGTCGCAATCAAAGTATTCTGACATGCATGGCAACAACATGCATAACTTAAAACTATATTTTGAAATATGTACATGACGTGTTAAGTTTCATTTATATTCATGTTTTGTTTTATACTAAGTTAATTTTAAAGCAATCTTATTTTCAGATAGTAAATAGTAACACAGAGCGGTTAATAACTAAAAAATTCAACTATTAATTATCACATTACCATTTACCATATTGGCTTTAATTCCCTCGGAAATGCCTTCAACATAAACAACATTTTCACATTTATTTAAAGCAATTTGATTAATGTTTTCACACTTTAAATAGCTTACGTAGGATCCGATCTTTAATAAAGCAGTAACTAATAAGGCTTCTTTTTCTGCCACATAATAAAGCCTAGGTTCTTGTGTCACTTTCTGAATGTGATACATTCTGGCTTCTTTGTCAGTCTTGGGTCTTGTTAATGAATAATGTTATTGTTTTACTTGTAATAGCCTAGGCTTTTAATCCCCATGCTGTTATCAATAAACACCTTAGCAAAAATATTTGCACAATTTTTAGGAATAGTATAAATTTTTTATTTGTTCTAAATTATGTGAGAAGTTGAGGACCAGTGGCCGGTTGTTCGAAACAACTGAGCTGGAATATTTCGATGTAAATAGTTTTATTTTTAATGGAAGTACATATTAAATGCATAAGATGCAGGTTCAGTAATTCACAAAATGTATGAGAGTACTTTTAGACTTTGGCTTATCCACCTTCGCTTATCAAACAACCAGCACCAGTAATTTTTTGGCTGTGCGTTTCGTATGATCATCAGCATTCGATTTATTCTTTTTAATTTTAATAGCAAAAATTAGATCCGTTTGACTGATTTTAATACAAAAAAAATATGTAAATATTTCGTGGTACCAAGTCACATAGGATAACATGTGGGATTCAATGACACTTCAATGACAAAACAAACAGTATAGCGTTGACTGCCGTCAAGAAAACAAAGAATGGCCAAAACAAATAAAAGAAAAAGCTTAATTGCGCGATTGTGTCCTACGTTTAGCTGACTTGGACCCGACCACTGAGGCCAGTTGTATAAAAGGCGGATAGCGCTATCCACCGATGATATTCCTATATAATTGTTGGTTCCAAAGCTGAAATTTTATTGCTTTTTAAGCATTTTTGGAACGGTTGAAAAGCTCTATCCAGCCTTCGTCAACCGGCCCCTGCCGCTGACATTGTAGACTGCACGTCAATCTAAAGGTTCCTGATGTATTGTTAACATTTGTTTGTGAGCTGTGTCACAAATGGAAATTGTTAAGAAAAACAAAGTACTTTATTCTTTAATTACCACTCACAATAGCTTTCGCCGGCCGTCAGATACCTATGAGAACCATGGATGTTAAAGCAGCACTTGAACTTTTTTGTGTGGGAAAAAACTCACAAATGTTCACCGCGCACTATAGCTGCTTGAGCCTTGAGCACTCTGCAAAAATAGCCGCGCATGAGCATAAGCGAAGCAGAAAACTCTAGTTTGCGCCAGGCTTTATAAATGATTTGAGCCATCTAAGGCATCTTGCTGTGGCGAGGAACAGATACAGAAAGGGGGATTATGACAAGATGGCCCAGCTATACATCGCATTTTAGGTGCTTTGAGTGCAATTTGAACAAACAATAGAGAATGAGAACTTTATTATCTCATTATATATTGTTTGTTTGCATTCGACCCGACCAAAATACGACGTATAAACCAGGCTTAAAAGGCCTTTCATTTTGGAGACGCTAAAATCCATGTCACATACCTGGCTTGATTCCTTGAATGATGAATTATTCAACTCAAATTTGGACTTACGTAGTTTTGCATCACCTTAATATTGATTGCGTAAAACTCGTTTGAAGTATTTGCATGCTGTATCGGATTTCGAAAGCACAAGTGAATATAAATTTCACGCTCCAACACGTAAGTGTGGTAAATTTAGCAAAACATTTGAAGCAACTTTTGGTTAAGCAGAAATGTACGCTAGTGATGATGATCGAGAGCCTGTTCTAGACGATGGTTAGTGCATTTGAGTCCATTTAGAGATTAGGAAAGTATTACAAGGAGTATGTGTGGCAATTCGACAACAATTTTTTTATATGCAACATGCTGTTCGTCTGAAATATACGGTATAATGCTTTTGAAAGACCAAAGTGTGTGTTGCTGTTGTCTGGTTGTATAAAAATGTAGCTGAAGTTAAATATAATACGAAAGTTAACCAATTACAATTACAATCGAGTATTAACTACAAGTTGATTGCGAAATGCGTATTTAGAACGTAGCAGTCGTAGCTATATAGTTGCATGGGTGTTTTTATGCAACCGACCTCTGGACGTTATTGTTAAATGCTAGCTACTTGAACTGCATTACCACTTACCAAACTCGACGGATTTGCGACTAAATAGAAAAGTTCTACCACCACTAGAAAGCTATTTATGCATCCTAGCAGTTCTGAGAAACTCGCAACGGTTTTTGGAGTCAAAAGGACTGCGGTTTTGGCTGTTGAGTATTGTTGATTTGTTTCTCCATTGTTTTCAGATGGCAAGGCTCGTCACTTTGATCCTGAATTTAAGGGGCCGATTAAAGACAGGTAAGCTATGAGGTGACCGCAACTTGCATCCTGAATACTGAATAGTTCACACGAACTGAAAAGCAAGGTAGACGGAGCCAAAAAAGAGGAAGTTAAACAAACACTCGAGTAAAGTGGGCAACAAAAATATCGACATATAAAACTTTTATCAGTCACCGACAATCATTGAGAGAGAAAATTATTTCATGTCACAAGTGTCAAAGAATTTTATTCGTATGATCAACGAACCCAAACAATGTTATTTGCCAACGCAAATTTCGATGGCAAGGCTCAATATTTGACCGTCGTATTATATTATTAAAATAAAGAGGCCATATCCATATTGCCATTCTTAGTGTCAACTCACACTTCTACCCATGCATGCTGGCATGCATGATAGTCTGCCAACCACGTTTTTGCTCGAAATTTCGTATTCATTAATAGCCAAGGATTAACGGTTATCGGAATACTACTACCATTTGCGTTCAAGCTTGCGACGTGCGATTTTAAAACGTACGTTTGACGTTTCAAAACGTACGTTTAACGTTTCAAAACGTTACGTTTGCCGTTTCAAAACGTACGTTTTGTCACGCCCCCTGCCATGTTTGGGTAATTAAATTGACATGGGCTATCTTTAAAACAGGGAACGGGGAATAGGGGAATGGAACGGGGAATGGAACGGGGAATGGAACGGGGAATGGAACGGGGAATGAAACGGGGAATGGAACGGGGAATGGAACGGGGAATGGAACGGGGAATGGAATGGCTTCGGGGAATGAGCCGGGGAATGAAATGGCTTCGGGGAATGTGCAGCTTGTGCGTCAGTGATTAAAACCTGTAAACGCTTCCATGTCACGAATCATGAGACAGCTACTCACAGTTTGAATTCCTTGAGGTAAAAGACAAAGCGATTACAAGCTCATAGTATAAATGCGATGTTTGCATTGTCATTGTGATGTACATTGATGTACATTAATATATAGATAGAATTTGCATGGGTAGGTGGTTCAATGTAAATCCTCCAAAAGCTGAAGGCAATTAGTATAATACTGTAATAGTATTTTTTGCAGAAATCTTTTTAGTTCTTACTATGCCTTATAAAGCTCAATGTGTGTGATTAAAAGGTGAATAAAGATACTGACACAGTGTCACTTGTTTGTTTTTTATTTCAGGCTATGTGAACAAGACCTCTGGACAGTTTTGTTTAAGCAGGAATAATGGTTGTGGTGGAAATGTGGTGAATGCATTCTTGACAAGTTAATGGGTTTGCTTCCAAGATACACTGAAACTTTGAGCAACAATGACTTTGAATATAATTATGTAATTAATATATTATTTATTAATCTTAATTTATATGACTTTTTACCTCACATAATTCAAATAATGTTCAGATAAAGAGGTAAATATTTCACTGTTAATGGTGTAATAAATATTTTATATGTTGATTATATTCATAATGAATTATTTGTCCTGCTCCATACTTTGGCAATTCTGTTTAAGAAATCCCACCATAGTAGATCTTTTTTGAAATAGTTACAGTCAAGTTGTTGTCTAGTTTTAGTACAAAATAATACAAGTGCTACAATTAAACAAGGGAAAATAATAAAAATTAATTACATAAGCAAGCACATTTTCTATTTTGAAAAGGTCCATGAATTGAGATGACATGTACTAACAATTTTGTGCATTAATTAAAGACAATTGTATTCTTACTGTGGGTTCTTTAATATTGACCAATACTCCCAGTGACATCCCACTGAATTCCTGCAGGTGTCTCAATCCATCAAACCAGTTTATCTTTTATTTCTATATTTAAGTCAGAATCAATGTATTCAATATCAATATGTTATCTTTTTGGAGACCCCCCAAGAAGAAATCCAGAAATTTTTCAACACCCCCCTTCTCATTTTGTACCATAATCATCCTGCCAAGGAAGGGGGTTGGCTTCAAGAACATGGTTCTCAATTCTGATGAAGAGAAAAAATTGCTTTTCTCCTTTAACAGACTTGTCAAAATAATGTTGTAGAACTTAGATATTATTTTTACATATTGATATTGAATACATTGATTCTGACTTAAATATAGAAATAAAAGATAAACTGGTTTGATGGATTGAGACACCTGCAGGAATTCAGTGGGATGTCACTGGGAGTATTGGACAATATTAAAGAACCCACAGTAATAATACAATTGTCTTTAATTAATGCACAAAATTGTTAGTACATGTCATCTCAATTCATAGACCTTTTCAAAATAGAAAATGTGCTTGCTTATGTAATTAATTTTTATTATTTTCCCTTGTTTAATTGTAGCACTTGTATTATTTTGTACTAAAACTAGACAACAACTTGACTGTAACTATTTCAAAAAAGATCTACTATGGTGGGATTTCTTAAACAGAATTGCCAAATAATTCATTATGAATATAATCAACATATAAAATATTTATTACACCATTAACAGTGAAATATTTACCTCTTTATCTGAACATTATTTGAATTATGTGAGGTAAAAAGTCATATAAATTAAGATTAATAAATAATATATTAATTACATAATTATATTCAAAGTCATTGTTGCTCCAAGTTTCAGTGTATTCTTGGAAGCAAACCCATTAACTTGTCAAGAATGCATTCACCACATTTCCACCACAACCATTATTCCTGCTTAAACAAAACTGTCCAGAGGTCTTGTTCACATAGCCTGAAATAAAAAACAAAGTGACACTGTGTCAGTATCTTTATTCACCTTTTAATCACACACATTGAGCTTTATAAGGCATAGTAAGAACTAAAAAGATTTCTGCAAAAAATACTATTACAGTATTATACTAATTGCCTTCAGCTTTTGGAGGATTTACATTGAACCACCTACCCATGCAAATTCTATCTATATATTAATGTACATCAATGTACATCACAATGACAATGCAAACATCGCATTTATACTATGAGCTTGTAATCGCTTTGTCTTTTACCTCAAGGAATTCAAACTGTGAGTAGCTGTCTCATGATTCGTGACATGGAAGCGTTTACAGGTTTTAATCACTGACGCACAAGCTGCACATTCCCCGAAGCCATTTCATTCCCCGGCTCATTCCCCGAAGCCATTCCATTCCCCGTTCCATTCCCCGTTCCATTCCCCGTTCCATTCCCCGTTCCATTCCCCGTTCCATTCCCCGTTCCATTCCCCGTTCCATTCCCCGTTCCATTCCCCTATTCCCCGTTCCCTGTTTTAAAGATAGCCAATTGACATGTTTTTGCAGTTCATACGGCATGTTTAAATATAGCGACGTTTGTACTTATTTAAAAATACTCAATACAGCAATTTGAAAAATGACATTCATGACATGACAATGGACCAAATACAAGTGCAAGTTCAGATTGGAGAAACACGGCGTGTTTTTTTCACGGCCTCGCCGAGGACATACAATGATTTAACCGAAGCTATAAAACGAGAAATCCCTAAAACAAGAGATTTGACGTTCGGATTGCTGTACGAAAATGACGAGAAAGAATACGTGGTAATGAACAGTGATCCCCTATGTTTCCGAGTCGCAATTACTGGAATAAAATGTATTCCAGGGACGGATATTCATCGTCTTAAATTGAGAGTATTCGAGGGCTCTTCACCAAGTGTAAAAGCGAAAGTTGACAGTAGAGCCCAAGTTGAGGAAGTGACCGATTCACATTGCAGACAGCCACAGTCAAAATCTGCATTAAGACGCTACCTATGCAACGTCAAGTACAGTAAAATCTTGTCTTGTAAGCAACTTTATGGGCTGTGAGGATATAGATAGTGATGATACTGAGGAAGATCGCATGATCATGGGCCTAGACAATGACAGTGACGATCGTTTAGATAACGACTTATGTGTTGAGAAAACTCCACTTGAGAGATACATTACGAAAAGCGAGGAAAAGATTGACGAGCAGGAAACAGTAATTAGGCAGCTACAAGCAAACATTGAAAATGTTGAAAAAAAATTAGCAAGAGTCAAATCAGATCCAAATAATGGAAATATATGTAGAAATTGTCACCTTAGGTTGGGTCACACTGCTCGCAATTGTCAACTCGATAAATGCACATCGGTCTTTAAATGCGGATTGGAAAAAAATCACCCAGGCGAACATAAATTAAAGGAAATGCGATCGCAATTAAAGCAACACGAAATCAAACTTAAACAGTTAAGGGAAGAACTTCGCAATAGAAAACATGCTGTAGAAAATGCGACGGACAAAAAACATGTTAGAATCGAAAGTGAGCTGTTGCAAGCAAATAGGGCGGCTTACATGGTAAACGGTAACCAAAATTGGTCATTACTACGAAAACACGTTTACCTAGTGCAGGAGTACTGCAAAAAAAATTTGGGAGGAAAAATCCCCGCAAGACATGATATCGGACGTATTTTGAATGTCGCCCTCGGTCTTGCTGACGACGATTCGAGTAATAACCAGTTTTACAGCCGGTCAAAACAGAACACCAAGCGACGCAAACACGAAAATCCAGCTCGATCCTCACTCGAGCATCATGGAATAGAGTTTCCTAGTTCGAGATTAGTCAGTACTCAAAGTAGCAGTTCCTGTAGTAACAGTATAAGCTTTGATACTGATAAAGAAAAGCCTTCACAAATTTTGCATAGTGCCCCTGCATCAGAAGAAGAAGAAGCTGAGCAATTAGCTATTGTCATCAGAGAAAGCTTGCATAAATCAAAACCGCAAACTCTGGAGAGTGCCAACACGAACTTGTCTTACCCTACCCCACAGTCAACATATGCCCCGACAGGCTTCGATCTCCCTATGGCATATGGAAACATGTACACCCCAATGGCAATGCCTTCTTTGGCATCGATTTGTCCCTATTTCCCAAGCTACTCACCAATGGCAATGCCGTACACCCAATCTACTGGGGACTGTGTTCGCACAACTACGAGTACGCCGACAAACAGTTTCATGACGCCGGCGCCGGCAGAGTCGACAAGTGACGATGTACCTGAAGTCAGTGAAAATGACGCAGTTTCTATGTTGTTAAATTTGTCATCGCAAAACAATTAGTTAATCTTATGCGATAATATTATGACATAGTCCAAGTTTTATTTGATATTACGTTCAATAAGGTGCCATTAGGTTTACCAGGCTAAGGAAAACATTTCGTTATTAAAATCGTTTTTGAATTCAGTGGCGAAGCAAACGTCGATAATTGGGAGGGGGGCATATTCATATATTCATGTTTTGCATGATTAACTTCTTTTTTAAATCGATTGTCATTACATTGTGTGAGTTTATTTTATGCCCCCCTCCAATTACAGTATTGATGCTGGCTAAACGCCGCGGTTTGTTTTAGAACCAACGTAAAATACACCCTTGCAATTGTGTTTCGCTCGCATGCTTCTGGCTACATAGTAGGCTAATATTACTGGAACTTGATTCGATTTTGTACGTTGTGGTTGTTCCGTACCAGATTTATTGTTGTTCAGTTAATGTTAAAATGTTTGAAATAATCGAAATAAATTAAAATGAAAAAAATACCATCGTTTCAACGTCGCAAAATTTGAGAGTTATTACGTAACTGATGTTGGATTTATTGAAATACGAAACGTTATATTTAGAACTATTGTTTCTGATGACGCTACATTTTCTCTATACTAATTAATATTCAGAAGTCAGAACTATTTTTATATCAGCCATTTCAATCGTGCCTGCATTATCGAATGAAAATAAATGCTCATTTAATTGTAATAAAGCAACTATACCATGGCTATACTACAGTGCTAGATAAACAAGTAAGATGTGGCTTCATAGAAACCTGTCATGTCCGTTGGTGAAAGTGTCTCGACGGCTTCTGCAACCGCAAGATGTAAATTATCGTGGACCAATTTCCTGAGTTCACCATTTAGAATGTTTTTAATCTTGTTGAAACATAATTCAATTGGATTCAGATCAGGAGAGTATGACGGCGTATATAATAGTTCTATACCCATTGTGTCAAACCACTCTTCCAAAATTTCTCCACCTTCGTAGTGATGAGACGAAAGATTGTCCATCACAACGATGTCACCCACCTCAAGGCATGGACGACCTGTATTAACGTTGACCACTCTTCCGGCCTCTTCGAAAAATGCAAGAAAACGCGCGGTGTTTGTTGCTCCGCTAAGAATATTATAATATTCGGGCCCAACAATTGAAACAAGCAAGTTCAATGTGTTGTTTGGAGATTCCTGCTTTCGTATTATCTCCACACTGCGCGTTCCTATAGCACTGTGTCCGTACGTGCGAGTTCCTACGTTTGGTATTTTTATTCCAGCTTCGTCGAAAAATTTTAACTTTCTTGGATCCTTCGATGAAAGATAGTTTATGAAAAGTTGTGTGTAAAACATGTTGTTTGGAGTAAACCGCTCCCTCGCCAGTTTGGTCAGTTTCTTTCTTGTATACCGTTCACCTGAAGGCACCCTGCTTTTTATTGCTCTCGAAACAGTTGACATGGAAACCTCTTGGACGCCACATTCTGTTAGCTCCTGGATGATTTCCGCAAGAGAAATTGACGGCGAATTAATCTTTAACACTTCGATTAGTTCGAGGTCATCTTCCTGTAATTTTGACTGTCTTTTGCCACCTCTGCGCTTGGGTTGTACTGTTGGAACTTCTTCACAAAATCTATTCCAAATATTTTTTACCGTATTGGGAGATACTGTAAATTCGTTGGAGTACTGTACATACGTTCGTGGAATGTAACCAGTAATACGGTCGCCACCTTCTTTCAAAATTTTATCGATGATAAAAGATGCAAATTCTTCGCCAATGGGTTTACCAGGACAGTAACTGCGACCATATAGATTTACTTTTTTTACAGAGTACGGATCCATATTTGTTTACACTAGATATTATGCCAAGTTCGTTTAGACTTCAAAAACATGTCAATTTAATTACCCAAACATGGCAGGGGGCGTGACAAAACGTACGTTTTGAAACGGCAAACGTAACGTTTTGAAACGTTAAACGTACGTTTTGAAACGTCAAACGTACGTTTTAAAATCGCACGTCGCAAGCTTGAACGCAAGCTTGAGGTATACAACCTTGGATAGTGAGAAGTGAGATTTTTTCTTGCTAGTTTACTGTCCGTATATAAATTGACATAATTCCCTGAAGTAAAGAAAAAATAAATTGACATAATTCCCTGAAGTAAAGCAAATACTTATGCGATAAGTCCACGAGCGATACCCGCAGAAAAATATATTGCTGCTTGCTGGTATATACTTATGTCGAAGAATAAAAGACATATATAAATTACATATTTATATTATTACATATTTTAACATATTACATATTTGACGATCGAAACGTTCCTAGGTCTATAGTGTAGGGAATATTTGAAACCGTCCATTTGTTCAGACTATAGGGTTCTGCAGGGGTTCCTTTTACGATTTTATAACATAAGCGGATAATCACCTGCTAATAATATTGCTCATAATATTTTTAATGGTAATGACGTTTAGTAATGTGTGTAACTCGTAACTTCAATAATCAACACATAGTCATCTATGCATTGAGCCCCGTATACAGACGGGCAAGTTTTCTTTGACAAGTTTTCTTGACCAGTTCATTTGCTGGTGTGTATGACGAACAAGTTTTCGTTGAGAAGTTTTCCTTGCCAAGTTTTATTTGCTCGTGTGTACGCAAAAAAATTGACAAATTTTTCTTGTCAAGTTTTATGATAATATGAGTACATTTTACGATAATATGAGCCATGATAAAATGAGTATATGACCGAATCTCAAAACAAACAGAAATTGAAAAACTTCAAAAACCACGGCTCGATTGGCTCGAAGATTGGTGCGCTGTTCCCTACTGCGCAATTCCTTGTCAAGTTGTCCTTGACGGCCGTACACACGAACATTTTTCCTTAATTTTGAAAAGCTGGCATGACTAACTTTTGAACAAGGTTCTTTGTCAAGGAAAGGTTGTCAATTTTTTTGCGTGCATGTACACATGAGTAAATAAAACTTGAACTCATCCTCGTTCCACTTTATTAATAACTTCCTATTAACTTCGATTAGGAATATTATTATATTATTATATGGCTTTTCAAAATCCTCTAGTCTGATTGGTTGACGAACGGTCAATAAAACCCATATCCTACTAAAAAGCCACAGTCTGATACTTCACAGTACAAACCTCACGCTTGGTCAATAATCAGTTTATAATCTATATATATTTTTTAGTACTTTTATTACATTGTTTTAGATCCTGCACAGACATTCCATGTTGTTTGATCTTCACGTTATATTTAATTGGGATGGTGGTTGTTGGAATAATTGGTAATTTTCCAAGTATTCACTATGTTATACATTACTCGGATGGTAGTGGTGATAGTAGCTAATTGTGTGATGGTGACAATATTGATGGTGATAGTAGTGAGGTCTCTGTAATGATGCTACCATGATTTTGAATCGGAGCGTCCCGTCATCTTCCCGACCTAACCAGAATGTTATGGTGAATATCTAAGCTTGAATAGACATTAATATGTTTCCTATTTGTGTTTTAGCTTTCAAGGAGGGTGACTTGGATAGACTCATTTACCCTACTGATTCCAATGGTAAAGTCAGCGAGCGTTAAATTGTGTATTTTTTGTTGACCGAAATCGGACATATTTTTGCCTTTGCTTTGTTTTAAAGAATCATTATTGCAATTCAAGGGGATCAGACATCTACCCCATAGGTCTCCCTTTCTCCCCATTCCTTTACTAAGCCCTATCATTCGCTATTGCAACATGGCAATGCGAAACCCTTAACATCCCCGAATATCACAAGCCTTTATTGTCTAGGTCACATGAAAACATGTCTGATATTCCCTTTAGAGTAATAGCCCTTAGATGACTGTGTGTAGTACCCTTTATTTTATAAGGTATAGTACATGTTTAACAACGAATTTCTCGAAATGTCATATAGGCAAAACATGTGGCAAGGATGAGGGTCTTGTGTGAGTATCCTTCAAAGTGTTTATTCCTAAAATATTATCATGGACAAAGCTCAGTATTCTGAGATGTTTTCTTTTCTTTAGGGATAAGAAGCATTTGTTTTTCTTCGATTTGACAAAATGTTTGAAAAAAAATTCTTTGTCTGAATTCAGCAGCCTCTCGTGTCCCACGCCTCAGGTTTGTGTTTCCCACAAATTACGTACGTAATCGATGAACTGGAGAATTGTAGTTATATATCTTTTATTTCATAGGTCTGTGTGGAAAAATGCCCAGACACCAATGGTTTTGTTGAGGGGAATTACTCGCAGATGGCAAAAGTGAAACTTGCAGACGCTATTTGCGTGGAAGGTGTGAAACCGAAGGTAAGTTACGTTCGTATTTCTACACTATATATTATTATGACCTGAGCTAGTCTATCTAGATGGCTTAATTTCTTTAACTGCATGTTTGTCGCATGAATTGCTCCTTAGTGCTATTCATTTTATTGGGCTATTGCAACTGGCGTCCTAATTGCTTTTTTGCGTGGAAAATTCCAAAACACGTTATAAGATTAGCATACCTGAAAAACTCTTGTCACCCAAGATGGCGGATTACTTGTGCAATAATACGTTATACGACATTATTGCAAGGGACCGACAGACGTGTCTGTACTTTCCTCCCCCCAGTTAAGATAATCACGCTGCGCCCCTGATTCTAGCCTTCGGCAAGGGCGTAGGAAGCATCCAGAGGTTGGGGGGGCACCAACTTCTTTTGGTTAATAAAAATGGCGGTTAAAATGGTTAATAAAAAAAAATATATATATAGGGACGGTTTGATTCAGAAACCGCCGACCGCAGAGCATTTTTTCGTATTTTTTGGGTTTGGAACTGCTAGGGGGGTTCGGGGGCATGCTCCCCCGAGAAAATTTTGAAATATAGGCCTCTGAAATGGCCGCAAATCCCTCTCAATTTAAGGATTATTGGGAAACAGTAGATACTTTTTCGTTTTTTTTTCACAAAAAGGGCACTTTTGGTCCCTTGAGAAATCTTGGGGGGGCACGTGCTCCCAGTGCCCCCCCCTTCCTACGCCACTGGCCTTCGGTATATAAATTATAGTCTCTAAACCTTAGGGTAGTAAAGAAGCTTCTTTTAGCCTTTTCACTTAGCTGTTTAGAGGCAGTAATAATAAATCTTTCTCGTAATGACGTTAAACGCGGAAAACCTGACGTTACACGAAGTTTGATTGGCTCCACAAAACTAACGAGCCAATCAAACTTTGTGTAACATCAGACTTTCCGAGCTTGACGTCATCATGAGAAAGATCTATTAGTGGAAGCATTGCGATGTAGTGAATTCTAGTTTGGATAATTTTTTTCCATTTTAATTTAGAGCTTCGCAGAGCTGCAGCAACTAGTGGAAGATAATAAGTGTGCAAATATTTACATTGAGAGTTCACCAGGTTGGTAGCAACGTTTGATATTTGTGTAAATTTCTTTGGCATTTACTGGAGAAATTAAATACCATATTAAAATATTTCTAGTACTCTATCGTTGTTTACCAAAAGCCTTGGGTCTGGACAAAATAAACGGCACTAAATTAAAAGACAATCTTGAAAATGGAATAAGGTGCGTTTCCTTTAATAGTTTCCTGCATGAGTCTAAATGGATTTTACGTTTTTACGTTTTCATATTTTAATTCCTATATATCCAGGTATTTTGATCATCATGTCACTTTCCATGTTAGTTTGATATATTATCTGGGCAACTAAGGTGGTGAACAGCTTTGAATTGATTGAACATTGCTTTAAACAAGATAGGAATTAATCGACATATATGTACCCCCCCCCCAAACTGTTAGGCAAATTAAACAAAGCTAGTCTGGCAGTTAGCCATCCCGAAGTTGAGGTAATGGACTGGTAATAGTAATATTGACAATGCACCATGGCGCTGTTTTTGGGACGAACCTTTCGTTTACGTCCCAAAAACAGTCCCGTAATATGTTGTCGGTATCACTATCACCAGTCCACTACCGTAACTTCGGAATGGCCACAATATTGGCTTTGGAATCGAGCAGTTTTTTTCTCGCTGCACTCATTAAAGGTGCGATAGCTGAAATATGTTTGAAACAATTGCCCCTAAGAAAGGATATCTCAGAAGGATCCGTACTGCACTTACGAGAATTTCCTCTCAATTCTTTTTAGTGGTCTCGGGTCGTTTATGAATGCTAAGAGTATTGGAGTGAAGGTATTGCATGCAACTGTTGTTAAATGATTTTTATGCAGTCTCATATTCTCCTGAAACGACAATCAAAGTTATCAAATATCTCTGGGCAATGATTTTACGTGTCGATTAACAGCGATTTTTCTTACCCGCGCTCTCAACCCGCCCGAAATCGGAACTCAGTTAACAATGGATAGTAATAACGTAAAGCCAGATGCTTTCGATTGGTTACCGAAAAAAAGTTTGCGTCGACACCCCATCCCAACGTCACACATCTATTTTCGTTATAAGTTCATAACATCGCTATACATCATGCAGTGTTAAGACCTAAAACTAAACTTTATATTGTAGATTTTTGAAGACCTAAAGATGGTATGGTACTGGATACTGGGGTAATTAACATCAACCATTTCTTTAGGAAGTTTATAACGCAACAGTAAATTTGCTTTCTCTATATTTGCATTTCAAAAATCTCCTTTTTGTTTCAGTTCTTTCATTATTTCCATGATTTTGTCGCTAATTTGGATAATCATTACACGGTAAGCCATAGGTGTACCGGCCTAATCTTCTTTTGGGGGCACACCATTAGTTTGCCCGATCACTTTGCGTCAGAGCTATTTTCCATTACGCCCTCTCTGCCCGCGCGGGTGAAACGACCTATTAAAATACGGTCGCGTGGATGAAACAGTATCGAAAGCGAACGTAATAGACGGAAAACGGCCTTTATGTTACACAGCAGAAATACATCAAATGTGGTATAACAACTGCCTAAAATAGACAAAAACACTTCTCGACGTTTCGACCTGAGGGCCTTTGTCAGGAGAGCTAGTTTAGGCAGTTGTTACACCACATTTGATGCTAAGTTGTTTGAAGACGCTGCCACGCTGCTTCCTGATTATATTGGAACGTATCTACATGCAGCAGAAATACGTATACAATTTGTTCAAGACTGCAGTGTTATTGTTTTTTAGATAAATGAGTACGATTGTCAAGGTTGCTTAATAAGCAGAATCTTATCTGCCCCCCTGATACCAATCTGGTCTGCCCCCCTGTTCATACATTCTATTTTTTATTTATTTTATGTTTCTAACAATATTTCCAGGTGGATAGCTTGGCCCATGGTGTGGTTCTCTATCTTAGCAGCGGTTGTACTTCTGATTATTGGTGAGTGTGATATTTTTATGCAGAGAGAGTGGTAAACAGGCTGAGGCTCTTGTGGAGCAGGTTTAATTAAAAATGAGAACCCATGCAGTCGTGTACGTGCAATGGGATTTTGTCTTGATTGTGATTATTATCTTTGTAAGGCATATATTTCTGCTACGATAAGTACACTCGCCTCGAAGATAAAGGAGAGGATAAAAGCATCGAGTGGAAATTCACTACCAACCTTGATGATTTTACAAACAATAAAAAGTTCTGGCTTGCATCTGGTAAGATTGTAAACACTAGTATGATATAAACATGGGTCATCAATCACTGACAATCAGACGTCTAAACTATGAGTTCCTCAAGGCCCATTTCGTACGTTCTGACGTCCTAATTCACAACTAACAAATACATCAAATTGTCTCTAAAATATCATGGGTCTCGCCCATGATATACAAAGTTAGGCGTCCTTATCTATGAGGAATCCGAAATCCCACTCGTATGTGTAAACGTCAGAGGCCGGTTGTATGAAAACCGGATAGTGGATTTTTCTATCTTTGATTAAACCTTAGTATTCCTAAATTGAGGATCCTCTTTAATTGTTGCTTCCAAAGCTAAAGTTTTATTGCTTTTCAAACATTTTTAGAAAGGTTGAAAAATCACTATTCGGTGGATAGCGCTATCCAGCCTTCGTACAACAGGCCCCAGTATTCTTCACTCGTTCTTCGTGTTGACTATTACAATGCAGGGACCATTTTATACTGGACATTTATACTTTATACTGGACATTTTTTTCGGTTCCGTGGATGCTATTGTCCGTATTGAAATTTTACAAAAGCCTATTTGAACTTTTAGGTATAATCCTCACAATTGTTCTTGTCGTTTTGTTGTTGATTCTCCTGGTTTTAAGAAAGCGGATAAACATTGCTATTGCTCTTATAAAAGAAGCCAGCAGGTCGGTGCTACATAAAGTATTTCTGTTCCGTCATTACCAAGAGTTGACGATAATGTCTTTTGTTTATTTTCCAGGGCCGTTGGTTCTATGATTTCTACCCTATTCTTCCCGATAATCCCATGGATTTTGCAACTTATCGTCTTCGCTTGGTTTGTGGCAGTTTCCTTGTATCCTTCATACTTTATCTATCACATTTGAAAATTGAGACTGTGAATACAGGGTGGGTCAAAAAAGTACCTCCTCTTAAAATCAAGCTTTTGTTTTAATTTGAATGCCTTATTATTATGCCAAACATTCAAATTCCAACAGAAGCTTCGTTTCTATAGGGGATACATTTTATTGGTACACCCTGTAGTGTTTATTGCATCACTGTACCGGATTAACCACATTTGTCCCTTATGTTCCTTGACTGATCCTCAGATTCCTTGTCAGTAATGGTACTCCAAAGTTCGAACTTTTAAAATATGGAGCAAATAGCACAATGCAAAACACCACGTGTGATCCTGAAAAGGTAGATTCTGATTCCTTGTGCATGGATTATTTTTACGTTTTAAAAAATCAATTTTATTAAATCAATATTATTATTCAATTTTATTATTATTCACTAAGGACACCAATATATCGGGATATGACTGCGTCTTGGTTGGCTATGATACAAACAAGTATATACTTTTTTCTTTCGTGCATACACTTTCTTTGCAGAAAATTCATTAAACTTTAAATTCCATTTTTTGAGTGTACTATGCATGAACTCGCTCCGTATTCGAAACGCCTGTTTTGTAGTTTAAAATTCTTGACCCAGCTCGAGACCGGCGTGGTGTTACAGTAAACTAACCAATCAGTGGTAAAATATTTGCAGAAATCTCAATCGCTTGGCGGTATACCATTTCTTTGGTTGGCTTTGGTTAATGAACTTTGTCATCGCTCTTGGAGAATGCGTTCTGGCCGGTGCTTTTGCATCCTGGTATTTTGCTTTCCACAAACCTGACGTAAGTTTGACTCATGGTGTGAACTTAGTTTATTGCTATCCCAAAAAAATATAAACTAGTGGAAGGTTGTAGACAGAGTAATCAGTTTATCATCACAAACGACAGGAACAGTCGTCGGCATATATTTGGTTTCTACCATTGAGTATGCACTTGTTCGATAATAATTCCGTAACATATGTGAAGTGTTCTTCCTAAATATTCACTTTCATTTTCAGGATGTCCCAGCTTTACCAGTTTTATCGGCATTTGGCAGAACATTGAGGTAGGAATTGGGAAATACAATCAGAAATACAATCATTTAAATATAATCAAAATACGTATAAGTCGTATTTCTTCAGACGTCAAGGCCCTTTTACAAGGACGTTTTGCAAGACCTCTAGCAACATTTCGGCTGTGATTTTACATTCGATTTTCTTCTTTTGATGGATGTGAACGACAGGATAGATTATATATGTGGATGTTAAAAAATGTCGCTTATGCATGATCTTTCAACAAATTAGGTGTCCTGCATGTGCTATGATTCGGCATACCCGTTTTATTTTTTAGATATCATACGGGATCGCTTGCATTTGGTGCAGCAATTATTGCCATTGTGCAGTTCATTAGAGCCATACTGGAGTATGTGGACCACAAATTGAAAGGTGATATTTGATTGATCTTGCCGGAACATGTTGTGTTTGAATAATTACAATTGCACGGTTTCAAAAAACTGCTTTAACAAGCACTTGGGTACAGAAATTGGACATGTAGTACATCTATATACATCATAAATGGATGTCCAAAATTCAGGAACTAAACAATGACAGTGTCGATGAAAGTCAATATGTGAAAATTGGTTTGCTTCATGTTTATCTTTAGAATCAAACCAGGATAATGGCTTTGTTAAGTTTGTCATGAAGTAAGCGTATAATCTTTTTAATAAATGCGTTTTGTGTTTTGCGTGAAAAATTTGCCATTTCTGAAAGTTTCCTTCCCATTTTCCTACCCTGACATTGAAACATTGACATTTTTGTAGATGTATGAAATGTTGTTTCTGGTGTTTGGAAAAATGTTTAAGATTCTTAAACAAGAATGCATACATAGGAGTAAGTACTTTGTAATTATGCTTTTAAGTGATAGTAATAGTGCATAAGACTCAGGTATATATATGAAAATTAGCTTGACCACGGTGGGAATCAAACCCTTTGGGCCAGCTTACCCGGTTGGTGACTCAGAGTAGCATCATGCGTCACAATATTCATTTCATTTATGCCTTTAAATTCGAAAATTCGGTAAACAGGCCCTAAAACAGGCAATGTTACAATGTAAGAGACGCCAGTCTGGAGCGAAGTCATGTTTATAAGAAAGATTGAATCCATTTATCTAGATCGCAATTTACGGCAAAAATTTCTGCAAAGCTGCCAAGGACGCTTTCTTCCTGTTGTTGCGAAATGCTTTAAGGTAGACTGTGCTTCTTTTCACAGTCAATTGTGAACTGTGTTAAATAATTGTGATTATCATTGAATATGAATGAATTATCATTGAATATGAATGAAATATCTTTGAATATGAATGAATTTTCTTCATGTAGAGTCGCCGCAGTCAATGGTGTCACAGCGTTCCTTCTCTTCATCGGACGACTTTTTGTTGTTGGAATAATAGGTACTATACAAGTTACGAGCCGAGGATGTAATGGAATAATCTTTTCCCTAGGGCTGCCATTACTATATAAATACGATGAAATAATATGAAGATTATCTCATTATAAACTTTTAAAGCAGCTAAACAAAGTTTTTAGTATTCCTCATATGGTACATCTTGTGAATATTTTAGAATGAATTTTAATTCGCATAATGAACTCTAACAACCCATTTCATCTGCGGGCTTTTGCAATAAATATGTCCAAATAGTTAAGATCGCGTTCCACTTCAATCATAACAAACTGTGGAGCATTATTTTATGTCAATGCCATCAATTCTCAGGCAATGAAAAAACATGCTACACTTCGTTATGATATGGTGGAACCGTGGAAGTGGAACAGCTTTTGCTATATCAGAATAAGTTTTTCTTGTTTATAAGGCGTTGGTAGTTTTTACTGGTTCGACAGATTCATCAGCGATGCGGATGATGTTCAGTTGTCGTATTCTGTCGTGCCGATTGTGGTAAGTTGTCGTCAAAAATCAAATGGTCGGTATCATCGTCAATGGTCGATTTGGCGACATTTTGTCGGTATCATTTCGATGTAGCTTTCTCAATTTTTTTCTGTATCAACGTAATTTTAGGTGTGTGTGATCGGTGCTTGGGTCGTTGCCGCCATTTTCTTTGCTGTCTATGATATGGCTATTGATACAATATTCTTCTGCTTCCGTAAGTTAATAACAAAAGTTTCCCCTAAATTCCTTTCTTCAAAACGGTGTTGTCCTCGTTCAAATTGAATTTTCTATAAAAACAACACGATCCTGTTAAGTTTTATTTGATAATTTGCAGCAAATAATATTATTTCGCAAGATTTCTTTCGATATTTGCTAACATGATAAATGCATGAGTAGAAAAGGCAGCAATTCCAAGTTAAAGTGTAAAGTGGGAAGAAAAATGCTTTAAATTTATACCTCTCCGAAGAATGTCTGGGTTTACAAGATCCCGGGGGAAAGGTTAATTGTTAAATAAAATTTGCATTTCATCAACTTGAATATGCAAGCAAACAGCGCCTTAAAGTCAAGAATTTTTTTTTCGATACTTTTGGACATTTGCTGAAAACAGAACGCAAAAAAGCCCGGCTGCTTCCTCGTTATCTTAAAAGCGCTTTAAAATTTACATTTGTTTCCATTTTTTAACCGTAAATGTACATTTGTTTCCATTTTTGTTTCCAAGGTATTAACTGTGATTTATTTTCTTTTGTGAAATCTAGTTGAAGACAGTGAAAGAAATGACGGTAGTGCTGAGAAGCCCTATTATATGAGTGAAAATCTGCGTGATATTATTGGAAAATAATCCTAAAGCGCGTTAACCTCTTTCGTTTTTGACTTAGAGACAAACTTTTATATATTCATACCTCATTTGAGGCAATAAGTTGCTATATTTTGTCAGATAAATGTCAAGCTAGTTAATCGTAATTGTGCATATTGTCAGTGAGATATTTTGTACTGTCATAGTCAGGTTATAGGGACCGCGTATGCGTATCCAGGTAGGTTTCTTGCCCCACCCTATAAAAGTTTCTGTGTATCAATTTGTAACCTTTTCTGATGCAATGTGAGAATCGGATTACACGCCTGTGGCTCTGCAAGACTTAATTCCAAAATTTTTCAAATGCGTCTCTCCTCCTAGAGAGCTCTGTCCTAATTCCCTTATCTATCGCGGTTCCTGATGTTGTCTGTGTTAATTGTGAGCATTAAACATTATACCGGTGGAACAATTTTGTAGTTGGTTAAAATAGGTAACGAATTATATGCATTATTCAGATCACTGCATGGTATTGATCTGATTTCTTGTTTGCTATGAAACGGATAGATACCTCACTAAACCAACAGTCGTACTATATCATTGTAATAGTTTATTAAAAAAGAGGAAATTAATTTACTACCACTGGTAGAACATACAAATAATCCATGTGTTGTCTTTGTTACAGCTGATCTAATAAACACGATCGAAACTTGTCTTAGTTGCCTATAAATCGCTAGTTAAGGCTGCAGTTTTTTAATATAAAAGTTAAAATCATTTCAAGTATTTTAATTGCTACTTATGAAATCAACTATTGAATGGATGTATAAGGGTTGGATTCTGTTGATGATTTGGTGTGTTTTTCTGGCATAAAATTAATTATTTTCTGGCATAAAATTAATTATATAACAACTAAGCCTAAGGGTAAAATGGACTTTGAGGTATTAAAATAAGTCTTTTTGAAACAAAACAATCACATGCTATTGTCAGAATTGCACGACTACCAAAATCGTGTTATTTACTCATTTTAATACCTCAAAGTCCGTTTATGCTTCGTAAAATATTGGCAACTGGGCTCATGGGAACAGCCCCTTAGAAGGTGTTACACTTTTACGTGCGTGTACGTACCAGCAAAAAACACGACCGTGGTCGGCGATTCTCCATAAATGTGAAATTAAAAGCGTTCTACAAAGTAATTTTTACCTTGAAAATAATTTTACGCCTAATTTTTTCACTTATTTTGTGCTTTCATTTCTTTATCTGTTACTTTGACAAAAAACAACTTGCCGCATCTTGTGGTTTTTGCAATCGGTGAAACTGAAATTGGCGTTTCATTTTAAGACAGTAATGTCTTATAAATATATAACCAGTTGTTTGATGATATAATCCGAAGAATGTCCAACTGCGTTGTCGAATTTGCATTTCAATACGCGCATCTCAAAAATCGAAAGAAATTTGCTTACATGCAGTGTCAGTGTGAAAATTGTATGACCTTTGAAGCGTTTGCGATTGGGTTACATAGCTATAGCTTTGAGTGGTGATATTCATTTCATCTTTTAAAACCGTAATGAACTTCAGAGTTGGCATTTGCTGGTATCTGGTAGACAGTGGTATATATTTTAAATCGTGAAACATCTTGGTTCAACGAAACAACTCGCAAATTCTGTGCAATAACACATCTATTTTCATATCCGCCATACCGTGACGACAAGACAAGACAAGACAAGGTATGTTTATAACATTTCTTTCACTCTTGTGAAATACTTAAAATGATGTAATGAACAATGTTGGAAGCGTTAACAGGTATTTTTTCACTCGGAGACAGTAGCTAATTTACCTTCCAGTAGATTCAGAGTTAAGAGTTAAATAATATAATAATAAACAAATATAATATATACGGGGTAATTGGGGTTCAGAGTTACTGACTCGCAAGGGGCATTGGGGGATGCTGGGTGATTCATTTTTGATGTAGTACACATTTTGATACAAACAACTTATTTCCTGTTCGTGGAAAAAGTACTGATCTTAAAAAAGTACACGATAGCACAAATAGCGTGTTTGATATGAGACCCACACCCGCCTTCTTCCTAATAGGTATTATACTTCCGCAGCTAGTGCATATGTTTATTTCTATAGTTTGACAATGGCCCCGATAACGGACGAAGAAAGAAGATGGGTTGTTTTTGGACTATGTTTAACCAAAGTTCTCACCCCTGCATTGAGAAAGGTTCTTGCAACTGAGATGCCCAGTTGGTACAACGTTTTATGTCAGCCCCCAACTAAAATTGACAAACAACTCTGTTCTGGATACAAGAAGACTTTAAGCCCATCCACTTTAAGGCTCAACTACAAAAATATCAACAACAATCATGTCTCCTCTCCATATGATTACGCAGTTAAAGATCCTTTGTCTTTGGCGAAGTTGTTTGTTCTGCCCCACATGTGCAACTTCACTGGCTTTGACCATACGATGGATCCGTCTGCAGCCTTGTCGTTGATTTCTGAAGCTGCACCATTTACTGCCGCTTCTCCTCATGCAAAGGACGTTAGGATAAACAGAAACGAATGGGCGCATTGCAACTTTGCTGAGTGGACTGAAGCAAAGTTTGGTGCTTGTTATCAGAACATGGAGACTTTACTAAAGAAGATTAATCTTTCATCTGAAAATAAGGAAATATTTTGCAATGAGCTACGCAGTTGGAAAGATAAAGGTAATGTATTTTTTATCGTCTTATAATAATTACATGAATATTATATTGCAAGGCCACTGTGTTGGCCAAACAGATATTCAAATTGTTTAAACTTCATATTTCAGATTTTGACTCGTATTTTGATCAGTTGAACATGGAACTCTTTACTTCTGTCAGAAGTGAAGTAAGTCGACCTCATTAGACTAACTGGGATTTCAGCTGCTTAAAGTGCACTTCAACCAATTCTTTCCACTTCAAGAAAGCAATTCTTTGACCGAGGGCTTTTTATGGAATATATAAAAAAGGAAAAGTGAGGAAGTAATGAGAGTTTTGCATTTGTGAGGTTTCCGTTCTCTATACGCGTATATGCATAAACACACGTGCATGGGTTAAGTTGAAATCCAATGTATTTCGATCGTCCTCATGGTAGTTTCATGTTTAACGTACAGCTTCACTGTTTCATCCCATAACCGTTGAAAATCCGTATACAGCATTGAAACTGCTCGGAAGTAAGGAACTTCTTTCGGTACAATTTAGAATATGTAGTTTTGCTGTTCTAGGGGTGTGTCCCAGTAGACATAAATGTCGGTTCGTAGAGTTTATTCTTATCTGGATATCGTTCAAGTGATAAAACAATTCTACATATTCGATAGATCGCACTGAAAAGTATGCTGAAAGAGGTGACTAAGACTAAAATGGCTGTCTTTAACGTTTCAGAACACCTAATTCCAGAGTGTTTCTAAGCCATGTCCAAAATCTAACACACTTTCCATGCACTTGCATTAAGGGGTCGATCCTTTAAGTTTGAAGTTTGAATGATCCCCTAAGTCATATTCGCGTCTCTCTGCCCCACTACTTCTATCATGCTGACTATCATGTCATGACTTCTTGCTTATATATTCAGGTTCTTGAGTTATTAAAACATCCCAAATCCAATGATAATGAAGCAAGACTTAGCCGCTTGATTTCTGTCCAAGGAAGGGAAACACAACGAAAGTATTTTGACTCCATTCATCCTCCCGCCACCTTAACAACAACGTTGAATGACCACCGCGGAACACTAGAAACACTGCTTGAAAGCGGAGTGATCACGCCTGCGCAAATGAAGGTATTGTTTCCTCCAGTTGAAATATCATCATCAAGTGAATATGATGTCCCACTGCTTGTCATTTTATTACGTAATATTTGTGGCCTCTACCCCCTGCTTCTACTGGATCATGGGACGAGAATCCCCCGGCAGACGACATCAGTCTGGAGGCTGACCTGGTGAGAATTGAGTTTTATAGAAACAAAGTTTTAAACAGCGACACTGAAGTAAGTGACAATTATTTTAATACCTTTTGGGATGAAATCTCGGATGCATTGATAAGAATTCATCAACATCTCAACAAACCGCTCCCTACTCGAGAAATTAAAGAGTTGAGAACAAGCCCTGTTGGTGAAGATTCCTACATAATTTTCAAGAAAATTGAAGATAAAATTGATGAGAAAATTAATGAGAAAATTAATGAGAAAATTAATGAGAAAATTGATGAGAAAATTGATGAGAAAATTGATGAGAAAATTGATGAGAAAATTGATGAGAAAATTGATGAGAAAATTGATGCGAAAACTGATGAGAAAACTGATGAGAAAATTGAGGAAAAAATTGAGGAGAAAATTGATGAGAAAATTGATGAGAAAATTGATGAGAAAATTGATGAGAAAACTGATGAGAAAATTGAGGAAAAAATTGAGGAGAAAATTAAAGATTTTTGTAAATCAATCTTTTGGTTTCGCGTGCCAGCTCTTTTCATATTGCTATCTGTGTATGCATTATATACCCTTTCGGGAAATAAACCCGTCTCTTTGCAAACCATTTCCAATACGGATTTTGTTGGACGAGAATGGATTTTTCGAGAGTTAGAGAACATGACAAGCTCAAAAGAAAGTCGCGGTGTTCTGCTTGTGGCAGACCCAGGTTGGGGTAAATCGACTATCATGAGACAGTTGATTAACTCACCATCCTCCAGTGCCGTCATTCATAACAATATAATTGGTTACCATTTTTGTAAATTCAACGACGATCGTACACGTGACGGAGGACGATTTGTGCAGAACTTGGCTCGTTCAATCGCTAGAAAAATACCTAAATTACAAGGAATTGTCGTCAATGACGACGATTGCAAACACGTTCCACTTGAATGTTTTCAAGACGCTATCATAAAGCCTCTTAAAAAACTAGATGACACAGAAAGAAGATTTAACTCTTATATTCTTATCGACGCATTAGATGAGTGTTTGGAAAAGGATAATGGTCATAGATCGATTTTAAAGACGATTCTATACGAAATGACCTCTATTACCTCCGGCTTGCCAAGTTGGGTGAAACTAATAGTTTCCTCCCGAAAACAAGGCTTGGGTTTAAAAAACAAGTTCCCAAGTTTCCAAAATTTTGAATTATTTGTAGACGATAATCGTAATGAGCAGGACCTTCGTATGTACGCAGAACAAAAGATTCGAAAATTTAGCGCTAAAACCAGACCACGTTGGACAAACAAAGATTTGATTGAACTTGTTTTGCAGTCTTCTAAAGGTAATTTTCTATTTCTCAACAAAACTTTAGAGCATTGGCAAAGATTTCCTCACAATATTAGCTCACAGTCCATTCCTGAGAGTGTAGGAGATGTTTATCGGAGATCATTCACACTACGGTTCAATGATACCCATCTCAATAATTTTCAGCCACTTTTGGAGGTCCTACTTGCTGCTAACTTACCTCCAACGTTAGATGAGATTGAAGATATTTTACATTTTTCGAAAAAAAATTATGATGCTCGAAAAGTTGCCAGGGACCTTTCTGAATATTTCAAGGCTGATATTCACAAAGCACCTCTTGAGTTCCATCATCAATTCTTTGCAGAATGGTTGACTAACCAAACGGACGGCAACGAAGGTATTTTGATTCAGAAATCAAATGGCCATCAATACATAATCGACTTTTTATGTCATTCTTACATGGAAAGACAGACTGACCTTACCTTAACGAAACTATTGGAATTATGGACACATATTTTTTATGCCGGCAAAAGGAGATCTTTTGAGAATTTGAAAAAACTTAGTTATTTAAACGTTTCGAAGGTAAGAGGTCCAGATGGAAGCAATATATTACATGTTCTTGCAATCATTAACAGATACGGCGCAGAAATGATTTATCCTCTGATAGAAAAATGGAATATTTCTGTTGACGTATCGAATAATGACGGCTCCACCCCGGCAATGTATGCCGTAGAATTAGGTTCCTATGAATTTTTAAAGGTATTGATCGATAAAGGCGCAAATGTTAACTATATGACTTCTGACAAATGGGTATGCGGGTCCTTTGTCTTCATCGATACACCATCAATAGGAAGGAGTATGAATTCTATCGCAGCCAAAAATGGAGACATCAAAATAGCAAAGCTCCTAATTGAAAGTGGTGCGGATATAAATAAAACAGAATATTGTGGATCGAAACCTTTACATTATGCTGTAAAAGAGGGCCGTTTTGAAATAGTTGAACTTTACCTAAATCATGGAGTTCAACCTGATGCTATATCACTTCATCACGCCGCTGCAGGAAATTACACGGAAATTATGCGACTGTTTCTCAACGCTGGAATACGAGACACATGCTTACCCTGGAGCACAGAAGATTGCCATGCTAATGTAACTCAGTTTGATCTTTGCTTATCAGAGACGGCGCTTTGGCTCGCCGTGGCTAACAATAACACTGAGATGGTAAAATTAATCCTCGAGTATGGTAATGCATCGGTCAACTGTAAACATGGCTCAGGACGAACACCCTTGATGGGAGCTATTGCAAAAAAAAATATTGAAATGGTTCGACATCTTATTGACGCAGGAGCCAATATTAACGCGGAGTGCGAAACTTTCAGAAATTGGAGTGATTATCGAAACAGTGTATACTATTTGAAACCCGGGCTATATGTTCCCTCACCCATTTGCAGTGGATACCGTGTAATTGATTTTCTTTTCGCACATGGACTTTGGGAAGTGGTGATTCCGATGATCTCCAAAGAGCAACCTCATGCGATATTTTCTACGGACAATCCAAGATGGAGTCCAGTAGCAGTTGCTGCCATCTATGATGATATCAATTTTATCAATACTACGTACGGCAACAAAATATCTAACATTCCTCACATTCAAACAATATTGCGTTACGTGGCTGTTTGTCATTCACTGAAGACTTTTAAATATCTCTGGAACAGTGGAGAATTAAGAACGAGATTAAGAAGTGTCTTTGAAGATGGAAAAACTCTGCTCCATTTTGCAGCTTCAAAGGTTTATAAATCGAACAAAAGAAAGAAATCCGGACCTCTCGCTATCCACTGTCCAACCCTGGAAGAAGAGCATACCCATGTTGTTGATGAAAAACGTTTGGAAATGGTAAATCTGCTGACCAAAATACTCGCTTCGGAGATAAATATACAGGACAACCATGGAAGGACTGCTCTTTATTACGCTGCTGTACATGGTTTGCCAAAGATCGTGGAAATATTCCTTAAAGCAGGAGCTGATTGTAGCATAGAAGATGAAAGAGGCGATACTGCCTTGGAGTTTGCACTAAAAGAAAAACCTGAAAATGAATATGAACCTCTTTCGCGTTGGATGACAAGTGATCGAATGTTTAAAACAATCGCGAGTACCTCGTTCGATAAAACAATAAATTATCTGATACGGAATGCTTCGATTAAAATTTGCAACAATAAAACTAAGAAGTTACTGGACGGTTTAATAAAACACGGACTACCTTTCAGTCTGTATGAATGGTTTACATCAGGGCTTGATGTTGAGTGCGCTCGTGAACACTTTGTAAAAGCCTTGGCGTCAGTTTTTAATTGGAAAAAAATTGAAAAAATTCTCGAGGAAACTCTGAAAGTGTTCATGACTTTTATAATTAATTTGGATGTGAAATGTGGCATTCCTTTTAGACAATCCGAGCTACATCTCGCTGCTTATGTTCGTCTTGGCATAAATGAAGAGAGATCTCTTTTCCAAAGATTCATTGCCATTAATCCCAAAGGTGTCGATATTTTAAATGAATGTTACGACAAGGAAGGATATTTACCAATACATCGAGCAATTCAGGCTGGGAACTATGATGTATTTTCCTGGTTCATGGATAATGGTGTAGATATTTATAAGAAGACAGAATCTGGTTTTACTCCTCTTGTTTTGGCGACCCGCATCTATCTAGCATTTTATTATTTGAATGAGAATGACACGACGCATATTTTCGAAAAATTGTTAGAAAAAATCAATCAAACTAGCCTTCAATGTAACAGAGAGCTCATTGACCTATCACCACTTCACGTTGCGGGAAGTCAGGGAGTGAGAAAATTGAAAATCATTCACAACAAAATACCCCAGATACCATTAAATTGTACAAATAAAGACGGGATTCATCCAGTGTACTTGGTCTATCTAGAACACGCAACAAAGCATCATCTGTCGCCAGAAGACGAACAATCTCTGCAGAATTTAACATTCACAGCCCCTTTGAAATATCCCAAACGTGAGGCGGAGTATCATTTGATTTACAACAAGTTATTTTACAACATACAGCCAAACGACTTGAGAAATGAGCTCAACTACACAGGTTTATTCAGATGTCCAGGTATCAACGAATTGCTTCCTCATAAAACAGTCATAAAAGACATTATTGAAGTCAATTTATGTGCCACACGTTGTCTCCAAATAACATTTGAAGCTGATCGTGATTTCTCAACAAGTTTTCCTGATCTACACATTCCAAAAAAAATTTCAAATCATTTTGCTGGCAGGTTTTTTGATATTGCAGATCACATGGCAGAGTTACGATTTCATTTAGTAAAAACATTTTATTTCAGTTCGCGTCAAACCATTTCGATATCCGCTTTGAAGAAACTCTGGAAAGAAACAATCCAGTCTCGCTCTTGTGCCCATAATTGTGCCTGTTTTGAAACAATGTTACTACTACAAGAGAAGTTCACAAAAGAACCCAGTCGTTTCTTGTCCAACAAATTCAGTGGTGGGTTTATTGCTGAAAGAATGGGTTGGACTGATATCTCACCAAAAGGTGATGTTTTGTATCGTTGGCCGTTCAGATTTTTGCTTAAGAAAGCTTTAAAAATCGACAAGGAATACGAATACTTAGAAATTCTGACTGTTTAGAGATAACTCTGTCTGAGGCAAAGACGGCGAAAAGAGTTGAACACAAATCTTGTTAATTATCAATTAATTATCAATATATTAATTATTAAAAAATCTTATCATTTTTTAATACCGAACATTTTACAGCGAGTGTTTTCTATTAGTTTCATGTATTATAATAATTGTCTTACAAAATTGTCTTACAGGCTTTCTACTGTATTTTACGATAGTCATTGACTTCACAGTTTATATCTGGTCATTTTTGACAATCAAGTGACCAAGCGCTTAGAACAAGAACTAAAAGTAAAACTGATCCACACTGAATCTTGCAATTAGAGGCTGTTTTCTCGTCATTCCTGGAACGGATTGTTTAAAAACACAAACGAAAATATTTTTCTGAATTGATCTGAAACATTGATCTGAATTTATTCCCAAATAATTATCATTATACAAGATTTAAGAGAAATAGATAAAATACTGCAAGACGAATACATTAAGATACTAAAAATTATACTGCATATAGATAAAACAAACTAAGCAAGTACTGCTTGGTATCCACTGAAGATTAATCTGTGAAAAATGATTAATTATCAATTATCTATTGATCAATGATCATGACTAGAGGTTGACTGTGTGTGTATCAGACACGGTAAAGAGGGTCCCTGAAGAGGGGTACCAATCCCATTTCCCAATTCAAATTTTCGCAAAACCCTAGCGCCGGAAAAAAAGCGAAGTCAGGTAACTTTGGTAAACGAATTAAGATGATTATGGCAATGATTTGATTTTGTATTCTATTTGTCGAAAAGAATGGGTCTTTCCATGACCCATGTGCCATGTAAATTTTTTTTTATAATGTTTTATATAATTTTGTTGAAACGGCCAGCTTTTTTTAATCCTTTCGTAAAGCCATCATGGCTTGTGTTGCAATGTAGTCAAATATGGCGGTAAAATATTCCATTGTCATTGACAATAAAGTCATAAATAGGATCCATTGTCAATCAAATAATTTATATCTTCTCGTTTTGTCTGGGTTAATGCATCCTCATGCAACCTAAGGCGAAGGGCCCAGCAGCGTAGGAGACACGGTAATCCGGGGGGGGGGAACACATATTCATGTATTCAAATCGATTGTCTTTACAGTCTGTTAACGTGAAGATATGAATATATGCTGCCCTCAATTATCGTGCTTCCTACACCGCTGCAAGGGCCACGTTGTCTAACTTGTCTCGCTGCGTACCACTTCCCAAGTGGCCATGGGGGGCGAGATTGCTATTACCACGTATTCTTTTTAAAACTAATTTTTTATAGCTTACTTTGTCTTTGGGAATGAAAACGTACTTCGATTTATTGCAGAATTTTGAATTATGTTAAGATCCTTTTGAGCTCGGTCACCAGCAAAACGTTTGTTTGCCAGCGACATGGCACATGCGGTGTTCAATGTTTCGTAATCTGTTCGTAGCAAGAGCTGCAGTAAATGACGTATTGACAGTTTCAGACACAGTGATTTGAGACCAGTTCACTGGTTCACTGTTTGAGACACGATAGAATTATGGTCTAGTGTCCAACCTCGTGCCTAGGGTTTTCCCCAACTCCAAAAGTGACAGCTAGTTCCTAGGCCTCATTGCGCGGGTTTTAAAAATCCGTGACGTCA